AATGGATTAATTACAAACACTTACATAACTCGAATCTTCAAGTGTCTTGTTAACTGACTTCACGCCAAGTAGCCCAGAGAAATATTGAGCATCACGTCAAAAGTTCAATTTACAATTCTACAATTTTCTGAATTAAATTAATTACCCTACGTTCCAAGAGGTCTCGCTGCACGGTGGGATTAGATTTTTTAAGCTTTCTTATGGATGCCCAATCTTTTTCCTTTTTGGGAAACTCATCTCCACAAGTTCTACATTTCCTTAAAGCTATGGGAGCTTGTTCACCACAGGCCCGACAGGTCTGTAAAGATATGCACACATATTAGTGACATAGTATAAATAATCCATGTAAAATATAAAAAATAATAAATAATCCATGTTTAGTAATCCACAACCTGCAGGGTAAAATTCTAACTACCTGAAGTTAACACTGTTATAAAAGTGTTATCAGGCTGTTAGTTTTAAAAAAATAAAATTTATGCAATATGTCAGTGTCAAATTTAACAAACAATTTATGTATGCTATATCAATTTTTACTATAGATGATATACACTGTATTAATGATTGTTGCAGGGAATGTTTAGGGAAATGGCAAGTTGGTCTATGGGAGGCGCGGTGGCCTAATGGTTAGTGCGCTGGACTCCGGATCGAGCTATCCGGGTTAAAGCCTTGACCGGGGCACTGCATTGTGTTCCTAGGCAAGACACATTACTTTCATAGTGCCTCTCTCCACCCAGGTATATAAATGGGTACTGATGAATTTACTGCTGGGAAGTAACCTGAGATGGACTAGAATCCCACCCAGGGGAGTAGCAAAACTCTCAGCCGCTTAATGCTACAGAAACCGGAGTTAAGTGCTGGAGCTATGGGCCAGTTAGGCTATTTAGGCAAGTTGGCCTTACAAGAACACTTTGTGAGATGGGGATGAAGTATAGAGGGGGAGTAAATACTATTTCTGGCAACCGGTCTGAATAACAGGTGTTCTCAAAATTAAGTTTTTAGGACTTAATGTAGGTGTTAAATGAAGGCTCAATAATGCAAATGGGCAATTACCCCTGTGAGAACGGCCCGTGGGGGATCATGGTAGTTATCTTCATTGCTCCAAATTCTTTGATGAAAACAACTTTTATCATGATTGTCTGCACTCTCAGGGGTAATTAGCCACTGATATTGACTGATGAAGTTATTATATCATATTGCTTGCTTTATAACACTTTCTTCCTATTAAACTTAAAAGTTATGCTAATGAAATGATTTTTAACGTATAAATATACTACCAAGTACTTCTGTAAGCAGGAAAATAAAACTCAAAGTATATTTATGGTTTTTGTATATTATAAAACAAAATAATAGCATAACTAAGCTTAAAGGTAACTGAAGAGTAAAAACAGATTGGAAACATAGTAGCTGCTTCATTCTTTCTCACATTATTAATGGAAATTCAAGACATGACCCTTTTTCATTTGTAGATAAAGAAAATTGCTTGAGACTTATGGCTCTGTCAATTTCAATGAGCACCCCCCAGGAATTTGGGTTTTAGACGGGTTTTAGACAAGTTGTAGGTCCCCACCATGAGGCATTTGCTCATAACGGGCTGTCTGGGGTGGGACATTTGACAATTCACTCATAAACAAAGAATTATACATCGTTACTTTTTTAAAACACAAACCTGCTTTATTAATCATCAAAAAGATTAGCCCTAAATAAACAATGCAGATAACTTTTTAACCCATTGGAAAATAGACACGGCCCACCACCACCCACATAAATTCACATTCCACATGAAAGAAAATAAACACAAAAAAGCCATGGCACAGTACGGTACAACATTGATGATTTTCGGGGGCCGAAATAATTTAGATATTGTGGTTTGGTGGCCGCAAGAAAAGAGCCTAGAAGGTTTCATCAAAATCTTCGAAGGTAAGTTCATTTTAAATTCATATTATAAATACGTATGATATCATAGTTTTGTTTGTAAATATATGAGCTTTGAGTTTACAGTGCAAGCATATGGTGTTCGTTTGGATCAATTTCAATATGCTTCATTCCAAAAAAAAGTTGAGTGCATGAATAACAGTCATAATCAAACTATAACAATAGCCTTCCCAAAAGATATGGAGGAAAAAGATAAACGACAACCTCCCTACCGACCAAAGGGTGGGAGAGGGTGGGTACAAATACAATGTAACAGCATAAACTTGTACATAACATCCAAACATAAACGACGACTAAAACCCCTGAAATCTTTGGACGATGTTTAATGCTTTTTTGTGGCTTTTTTGTTGTAGAATCAACGGACCTCTACTTTTCTTAATCCAATAACTTATATTTGGAGTCGAGAAGACAGAGATCTCCCGGGTTTTAACGATTTTAGGTTCGTCAGGTTGGCATCTATGCTTAACTGCCTTAAGCTTAACAAAGAACAAGATCAAGACATAGAAGAATGAAGCGGCAAATTATAGGCCACATAAGGAAAAATACAAGCTTTCGAAAATGGAAATAAAAATAATAGGATCAGTCAAGCATCTACAGACTGTTCGAAAATACTAACCTTGCCTATCTTCCTTTTTTCGTGGCTAACACTTCGAGAGTCCTCTCTCTCAACGTCCACATTTACGCCTGTACAAGTGCATAAGACACATCTAAGAAGACTGGAAAAGAAGGCCAAAACTAATTAAAGCAAAACTTGTTCGCATGAAAATGCAAATACCTTCTGAATATTCATCAGTTTCCATCCTGATTTCCATATTGGAAGCCGCCATTTTGGGAGAAAGGTGACCGATCATTTACTAGGTACCAGTGCTACACACGTCGTGTAGATTATATATATCTGACAATTTAGTTCATATTAGCAATTATTGATATCAGATAATTTAGGGGTGGAGGACATGTTGGCCAGCAATGCGTCTGAACAAGTTACTATGACAACGATTTTGTCACAGCGGAAAGCAGGGAAACGAGACATTGAAAAAACGAAAGGAACAGACAATATTTTATAACCGGTTCCAGCCTTTGGCTGGCCTCGGTAATGACACATTCCTCAAGTCGTTAAATTTATCGTGTAAAGGCCGCCAAAACAATTTGTTTAACCACTCTGCACAATGAAACAAATCAATAGGCACTTGGAATTCTTTACAAAAACAAACAATCTCACACCGCCGTATAGTCGTTCTGAAACTTAACATTAAAGCTTCAATCAATCAATCAATCAATCAATCAATCAATTTATTAATGTTAAAATGTAGTATGGGGTTGCCCCGGTCATCCGAGCCAAAGGCTCATGTATAAAACGTATGACAATAAAATACTAAGTTAAAAACGATACAATTATGAAGCAAATTAATAAACTAGCATCTACATAGGATAATTTAAAAAAGCTGCACCCACCCGCGACCCAGTGAATTAATGAATTAATGAAAAAACTAAGAAACTCTAGCAAAACCCTAAGATATACAGTAATTGAATTTACAACTGGCTCTCAAGACTGATAGATTAAAGGATTTTAAAAGTTTGTGAAATTCACTCAAATCGGTTGATCCTTTAATATAAGAGGGAAGCTGATTCCACATGTGCGAAGCCTTATATGTGAAGGAATTATGATAATATCGATTGTTGCAGGACGGTTGAATGAGATTGTGATCGCTGTTTCTTAAATTGTAGCGCAATTTACGAGGTTCGAATGAATCAGAAATATAGTCAGGCCCATTAACTTTTACACATTTAAAAAGGAGAACAAGAGATTGGTAATATCGTCTGTGTTCCAGTGATTGCATATTTACAATAGACAACATAGAGTCATAATTAAAGCTGTTTCCAAAGTTAAAAAGGACTTGTAGAGCAAAATAGTTTGCAGATTCAAGTTTCTTATTCAAGGTTTTGTTAATTCCTAATAGTAATGGACTACAATATTCAAGATGTGGAGGTATATAGGCCTTGTACAGCATTAATGAGATATCAGCTGGGACTATCTTTTTAAGTCGTCTCAGAGCTCTGATCTTGGCATAGACGAACACCAAGGATATTCAGGAAGCCACTTATTTGATAACAATATAAAGAGTAGGTTCATGAGAGTGTTTACCCAGAATCATAGCTTGGGTTTTCTTGCTGTTGACGAACAAATAATTTGAAGCAAACCAGGATGAGAGGTTCTTAAGATCTTTGTTCAGAGACAGTTCCAGTGCAGAAATGTCTGTATTAGACGCATAGGCTGTGGTATCATCAGCGTAGAGCCTCATGGAGGTTAATTGAATAGAAAAAAATTATATTGTTGATAAATATGTTAAATAGGAGTGGCCCCAGAAGGCTACCTTGAGGAACGCCACAGTACACCAGTAACCAATCCGAGAAAACTCCGTTGATCTTCACTCTTTGCTTGCGACCAGACAAGTAGGAATGCAAGAAGTCAATCGCCTCCTCACCAACACCATAAGTGCGTAGCTTTGCAAGAAGCAGGTTATGACATATGGAATCAAAGGCTTTAGATAAATCGATTGCAATGGAGCCAATAACCTTTTTAGGATCTAGAGCCAGACTCCAATCGTCAACCATTTTGATCAGAGCAGTGCAGCATTTATAACCGCGAAGAAAGCCAGGCATGTTAGACGAGAACAAGGATTGAAATACGCCGTACAGCTGGTCAAACATGACTTTTTCTATCTTGGGTATGATGGACAGGACACTGATGGGTCTGTAATTTGATACTAATGTGGCATCGTCTTTTTTAAATACAGGTGTCACATGGCTGAGCTTCCACTCGGTAGGCCACGTAGAGGTACTAATGCAGAGATTAAGTAGCTTTGTGAGGTGAACCGCTATAGATGGTGCTGAATATTTAAGAATCTTTGGCATTATGTTATTGGGTCTGCAAGATTTGTTGCACTTGATCCTATCCAGAAGAGATTGAATATATGAGACAAGTACAGGTTGAAAAGAAAAGTTCAGCTTAAAGTCGCGTGATGAAATAGAGATGCTAGGGTGGGTCGGAAATTCTTCCTGCTTGAGTTTTAGGGCGGACCGGTCCAAGACTGGGGTAGAAAAAGAGAATTTAAAAAGTGTGAAGGTTCTGTGATGACTTTGCCATCATCTATCAGGTGAATATCATCCTGGGAGACGTCCCTCCCTGCGAAGGGTAATAGGGGTTTCAGATTTTTCGAGAAGCTGTTGGGTGTGCTTGCATCAGAGGCAGAATCTGCGCAAAATCGTTTAATTGCGACTCGTTTCAGTTTAGTGACTATGTTCCTTTGTGTCCTGTAGTGCTCCCACACGTCTTTAGTGGGATGGCGACGATATTTTTTGTACAGTTTATTTCTCAAGCGCATAGATTTCTTTATCTCTACATTGATCCAGGGAAGCTGATTAGACCGAACTCTCTTTTTTATACAAGGTGCGTGTTTCTCTACTATGACATTAAATAGTTTAGACCAATGGCCCCAAACATCATCAATGTCGTCAAAGATAAAAGCCGTGTTCCAAGGGGTTGTCATTAAATCGGCCAGGAATGCGTCTTGATTAAAGTGTTTCATACTTCTGGAATCGATTACTTTGACTTTGGATTTTGGTAATCTTTGCTTCCTGATGATGTAAATAAGGTCATGGTCACTCATGCCGAGTTGTAAGGAGCCACTAGTAGCCCAGTACTCAGGTCGGTTGACAAGGATAGCATCAATCAGCGATTTACTCGTGTTTGTCACTCTTGTCGGTTCATCTATTGTATTGGTGAAACAAAACTGGTCTCAGAAGTCAATTCAGGGATTAGTTGTACATGTACAAGTTGCTTTTAATAGACATCATTGAAACAAAATATTTAAAGGAAGACAACCATTCGGTTACACTCGATGGAAAACGGATTTAATATTTTTTAGGAAAATAGTTGTGCACACCAGACATGGAAGTGACTTAACGTAACTCGAAAAAAAACCAGCATTTCAAGAACCACAGAGATGTGTAAACTTTACTTTACTCTTAGGTCCTACCTTAAATTTTCCGAACTAGAAGACAGGAAATGTGTAACAGAAGGAGACGACAGTTTCAATTCCATGAGTTTCTTGTGTTTCTTGCTGATCATGTGGCTTTGCAAAGCAACTTCTCCCATGCTTGAAATATCAATTGCCCTATTACAAACAACACACATCGCTTTGGACTTTGACGTAGGATCGGCTGCAATCCAGGCCTTAAATTTTTCATTTGCCTTCCCCTTTCCGTTAAAGACACACTTCCCCATTATCACGAAGCGAAAGAACAGCCAGAGGAGAACAACTGTTAGTGCATGAACGCGAACAAACATTGCTTGCTTCGCTCAACTAACGCGGGAAACAAATAAACCATGATGCATTGCAAACACAATGAACTATAATGCAATGCAGGGCATTGGAGACTGGGCTCTCGGACTTGAAACAATCTCACTCTCCGACCGTACCGCCTCCTATTATGAAGTGTTTTGCCGTTTGCCAAGTTAATTCAAGTGAAATCAGCTACATTGCAAAGATTTCAGCTAGCTTTAAACACCTGCTGCACCTTGAGAAAAATTAAAGACTTAATCCCATTTTTCAAGACTTTGCCTTTGATTTCCATACTTTTTCCAGGTCTGGAAAAGTAGTTCGCAAATTTCCAGACTTTTTCAAGAATTCAAGACTTTGTACGAACCCTGAAGGCAAAACAAAGCAAAACAAATAAAAACCTTGCCTTGCATAACACGAGTTAAAAATAGTTTTTTTCCTAACGAAGATTAGTGGGCAGCACAAAGGAAGACGTATTGTTGTAATTTCTCCTTTATTTCTTCCGACGCGTGTCGTCTCTAGCATTGGACAGAATATAACTACACATTCGTTAGCCTCAGTTTACTTTCCCATGTAAGTGAATCATAGATGAAAAATCCTGTAAACGGATGTTGCAAAAAAAAAAAAAAGCGCCTCAATCTATTGCGCGTTAATGTATTTTGGGGGCCATACGATAAGTGCTAATTGCGGTGAATCAATAAACAATGACTTTGTTTCTTCACAACTCTTTTTTAATTAGGAAAGAAGGTTGGTGAGATCAACCGATTTGAACTGGTAAATTTCCTACCGTCAGATATACGGTCTGCCAATTTTTTTACGGGAGCCAATTTGTAAGTCAGGTCTTTCAGTTGAGTCGTTCCTTATCCATACTGATGTTACAAGAAATGCCTTAATTTACTGAGCGTTGTTGTATTTTAGGAGCTGTGCGGTTAGCGCCAATTGTTGTTACTCGATAAACAAAAACTTTGTTTCTTCACAACCTCTTATTAATTAAGAAAAAAATGACCGGTGAGTTCAACAGATTTGATCTGGTAAATTTTCTACTATTGGAAATACAAAAAGCTAGCCTTGGTAGTTTTCATGGTTGACAATTTGTCGGTCACGTCAGTCAGTTTAGACGTTTCCTACCCCACCAATAAAGTGTTTTTCATTTGGGTATGCGCAAAGTAAGGTCTGTTTCTTACGTTTACTAGAAATTTTACCAGCGTATAAATAATACAGTTTTTAT